GCGTCCTCTCGTTCCCGCAGTTCGGCCAGTTCGACATCACCCGGGAGGACTTGGAGAGCTGGTACGAGTGGTTCTATGGTGAGGACATCGGGGGCCGTTTTCCCCCGCCAGAGGACCACGTCCTGGCAATTGCCGAACGCAACGCATGGCGAAAGATTCACGAGAAGATGCATGAGGGCAACACCCTCAAGGCGGCCATGCTGTCGGTCAGGCAGGACACATTGTTCTGGACACGTGAGGTCTATGAGAAGATCAAGACCTTTTCCAGGGGCCGCCCATCAACCAGGACATCCATGGACTACGCACCACCTCAGAAGGGCAAGAACAAGTCCAAGGGCAAGGGGAAGTCCAAGGGCAAGCCTGGGAACAAAGGGAAGGGTAAGCCCCCCCACCTGAACAATCAGGCGTCCCGGGGCGGTAACAAGCAGGCAGCCACCGACCCGAAAGGGAACCAGTTCTGTACCAACTGGATGCGCGGGCGCTGCCCGGGCAACTGCGGCCGCACCCACAAGTGCAACCTCATCCTGGCAATGGGCCGCATCTGCCTGGGGGACCACCTCCCGCAGGACTGCCCGGGTTGACTAGGGGCGCTGACCCCTACCCCCCGGGAGGCCTCAGGTGCCGAGGGCCCTGATAAGGCCCGGGGGGGCGAGAAGGGGCGCAAACGCCAGGTGGCGGCCATCCTCGGCGGAACAAGGATGGGGACGGCAGAACCAGCGTGCACAACGCCCTCGCCGTGATCAGAACAGCCACACAACCGGCACAACGGCGGCGCCTCAGTCCCGAGCCACAGGTGCCGAGGGCCCTGATATGGCGGGGACGGGACGGTTCCCCGCAGGTGCCGAGGGCCCTGACACGGGGGGCCGCACCCAGAAGGCCCGAGTGCCGGATGACTGGCAGCACACCGCAACGCCAAGGGACACTCCCAGGAAGCAGCCGATCCCACTTCCGGCGCCCAACATCATCAAGCAGGACCCGGTGGTTTTCCACAAGAGCTCGGTGGGGCTGAATGAAGGGGGCCAACGCCTTTCAGCTACCCCCCTGACAAGTCCAACGGAGCCGTCACCGGGATTGGACATCTTCCCGTGGATGGAGAACATCCCTGAGCGTCTGGTACAGCGGCTGAGATGGACACAGGGCACATCGCCCAAAGTTCCATCCAGTGGGCCCATCATTGTCCTGCTCTATGCAGGCAAGGAAGACCCAACTTCCTTGGACAGCTGTCTTCATGCCAACTACCCACACCTTTCCAGCATGGTGGTGGCGGTAGACATCCTACGGTCTGGACCAAAAGGGGACCACGATATGCTCCAACCCGAGCTGTATGGAGCTCTTTGCACGGCAGCAAAGCAGGGCCGAGTGGTCTTCATTGGAGGAGGACCCAACTGCAGGACATGGTCCATCCTGCGCCACATACCAAAACCGGGGGCTCCCACCCCGGTGCGAGGGCGCACTCCAGAGACACTTTGGGGCCTTCCACACCTGGACCAGGCCGCCCAGACTCAACTTGATGATGACAGCATCCTCATTCTGAGACAGATGTACATCACCAGCCTGGCAAGGGCCTCACGAGCGGCGGTTTCTCTGCCAGGGCCCAGGTCCTTCCTGGAACACCCGGAGGACCCAGTGGTGAGCAGCTCGCTGCCCAAAGCCAAGGAATGCTCATCCTTCTGGATCACAGAGGAGGGGCAGCTTTGGATGGAGGAGAACTCCTTGACAGCAATCTCCTTCGACCAGTGCCGCCTGGGCCAGCTGGTCAAGAAGGCCACTACGCTGGCCACGGATCTCCGATCCAGGACTGGGATCAAATGCGGTGCACGCATCAGTCACATGTGGGCACCAACGAGTCCTCGACTCTTAGCAGATACCCTTGGGATATGATGGCAGGCCTGGCCAAAGCCATCGCTGTGTCACTCGCAGCGCCGGGGCACATCCGGATCCCCTCACAATTTCCGGGAAACCCCAAGGAACCACCTAAGGGGCGGGGGTCGGACCCCCCGGAAGGCCATTCCCCCCGGGGAAAACGGGGGCCCAGTCAAGGAGGCGGTCCCTCCTCATCACACCAGGGCTCAAAGCCCGGAGGCAAGAACGCCCCGAAGCCCCGCCTGCACGGGCAGTTCCACCCTGAGGCAGACACCGTAAGCCCTCGTGGAACAATGAACCCAGACTTCCCATCTCCCATGCCCCCGATGGCCGGAGATGCGGAACAACTGGGGAAGGAGGGACAGGGGGACCAGGTCCTGGACCGCCCCGAATGCCTGCCCGCTTTCAGGGTCCCACACCTCACTGACCGGGTGGCGATTGTCCAATTGGGTTTCCGCTCACGCCCCCTGAGGGATGGGGGGGGAAAACCTTTTTGCAGGGAGGCTCAACCCCCCTTTTCGGAGAATTTCCCCATTGGCTACTTTGGGCACCCTGATCTTGACCCTTACCCGGCCCTGGATTGACAAGGTCCGAATGTCCCTGGCATCAGGTGCCACCACACACCCCTTCCAGGAAGCCGACCTCGAGGAGCTGCGGGCTATCCTAGGACCGAGGCACCTCCATGAACGATGCCCAGGACAACCCTTCCTCCTGGACTTAGTGTCGCACTTGGCATCCCTTTCAGGTGACCCTGATTGGGAGTTCCCCCTAACACTGAAAGAGGGGGTCCCCTTGGGAGTCTCGGACCCTACCTTGACCTCCCCGGGAGTTTGGCCCACTAAGGAGGAGCTTAAGGGAGAAGCCTGGCTGGGGGAAGATCCCCCCCCGCCAGTGGCTCATGATAACTACCCAACGGCTGAACTCTTTGCCAAGGAAATCGAATCAACCTTTTACGAGGAACGAGCCTTGGACATGGTGGACGGGCCCTTCACTCGCTCCGAGGCGGCAGAGAGGTGCCGCTGCAAACCGGAGGAACTTTGCCCGGGCCCCCTTGCAGGGATTGATGAGTCGGACAAGATCAGGACGATCTATGATGGCTCAAAAGGGGGAGCAAACGCACACATCCAGGCTCACACGGAGGAGAAGACCACCGCACCGATGGTTGGAGACTGCCTCCATGCCATCCACTGGCTCAGGACAGCGGCGGACCATCCTCATCTACTCCGAGCCCCATCCTCGGGCACTGATGAGGAACCTCGGGATGTTCACCAGCCGGTGCAGGGGCAGTCCCCAGGTGCCGAGGGCCCTGAGAGGGACCCCCACAGCACCAGCCTGCCCCCAGGTGCCGAGGGCCCTGATAGGGGCAGGCGGATGATGGAGACCTCTGGCGGCCTGGACGTCTCTCCGCAGTCAACACCCTCAGGAAGGGGCCACTCCCAGGTGCCGAGGGCCCTGATAGGAGGGCCCCATTCCCCCCAACCCCCCAGGCACGGAACGCCCTGGGGGGAGCAGGGGGGAACCCCTGACGTGGCAGCCGCCGACACAGGGGGAAACCTTCATCATCCTCAAGGCGGATGTCACCAAGGCCCACAGGCGCATAAAAGTGCTCCAGAAAGACTGGAAATACCAGGTGGCCTGCATCCAGAACCGGTGGTGGGTCAATAGAGTGGGCACGTACGGCATGGCCTCGGCACAACTGTACTGGGGAAGAAAGGCATCCTTGGTGCTCAGACTCTTGTACTACATCTTCCCTCAGGTGGACTGGCACTTAGTTTTTGTGGACGACTACTGCTGGGTCCTCAGATGCAGCAGGGCGGACTGGGACGCCACAGCCATCCTGGCCACTCCTCTGGCGCTGGGAGTCCCGCTTTCTTGGAAGAAGACGGCGCTCTCCCCGGTCAATACCTGGTTGGGATTCGTGGTGGACCCAATCACGCCCTGTGTGCTGCTGGCTCCAGTCAAGCACGTCATAATCCTGGCCACTCTCAAACGGCTGGCCCAGGGGGACATCTTTACCAGCAAGGAGGTGGAACAAGCCCTGGGCCGGATTCAATGGGCTACTTCGGCGTGTCCATTGACGAAACCTTTCCTCCAGCCCTTTTGGAGCTGGAAGAAGGCCTGCACCACTTCGGGCAGGCCACCGAAGCTGGTTCGTGCTCTGGCCATCCTTCTGGGGAAGCTCTTCCCACTGGCATCTCCATTTGCTCCCACACTTCCATGGACGGGGGCATCTGATGCGGGAGCTGGCAAACAGGCGGACCATGCATGGGTTGGTGGTTGGTGCTCGGACGTGCCCAACCCCGACAAGTCCCGAGTGAAGTGGTTCCAACACAGAATCACACCGGAGGGCGAGCCGTGGGCCTTCACTACTGGGGACCCGCAGCGGGCGATAGCGGCCTTGGAGCTCTTCGGCCTCCTCCTTTTGGTGAGGGCTGTTCTGCTTTGTGCAGCCGGCTCGGCTTCTCACACTAGGATTCTGGTTGCTAGTGATAACCAGGGAAACGTTTTCTCCCTGCTTAACGATTCCACTCGCAGGATGCCCAATGCGGCCATCCTCATGGAAATTGTGTTAACACTGCATGACCACCAGGTCATGTTAGGACCATCGCATGTGAAGCGCGACTTTAACACATGGGCGGATGAACTTACTCATCCGGACCCGCAATTTCCGACGAGAACCGGGTCTTCCCCTCAGTCGAAAGCGAATTGATCAAGCTGATCTTCGCTACTTTCCTTCCTCACCCATGATGCCGGGAGGGCATCCGGTGAGGTGGGAGGATTCCTCCCTCGCTGTGGGAGTGGCAACAATTCTACTCCCATCAGCTGCTGAGGGGAGCTGCCCAGTGGATGGGCAATCTCCCATTTTGGCATGCGGCGTAAAGGATGCACCGTTTCGCGATTAAGGTACCAGTAGCACCAATGTGGTGCTTTGAAGAGTCTGGTACAACTCCAACCAGTGATGGCTATTCTAACAGTCCTGGCGTTCCTTGCTATGTTCCCCTTTTTGGATTTGTTGCATGCAAACACGTGCATTTGTCTGAAAATGAGGCGGAGCCCCGAAAGGCTTGGCTTACGTTTGGCCTCGTTCAAAACCAAAGGGGGGTGCTCAGCAAATACTTTTGCTGGTCTGTTCACAGGAAGAGCTGCAGGAGAGCTTGACTTTGGCAAAGGCGTACCGCCGTCGCCACTCGGCCGGACCTCTTACCGGACGCGAGCGCCCATTTGCTGTTTTGGCCGTGGAAACGCACTCGGGAGGGGGCAAATCTTTGGTACCCATGTCGGAGTATGATGGACATAAGAATTCTGCCAGCCACGTGAGAGTACTTTGCGTGTGGCCAAAATCATGTCGTCCCTGGCTTCCTACAACTCCAGAAGGGGGCATTGAACCAGCGCACCCTGGGAATGGCAGTCATTATAGTCCCAATCAGATCACTGTGTTTTACCTTGTGGGTGCTGCGAACTGCAAGATCCCTGCACCTGCACGTTCCACACGACCGCACTTAAGCACAGCACCTCAGCGGCAGGTACCCCTCCGGGGCTGGGAGGTCTACTATTGGCATGGGGTATGTTCTGGTTCTGTTGCACTCCTTATCCGTCAACAGGTGGCACATTCAAAGGGCTTTAGCTTCCGACAAACGGAAAACCCGATTGACGTCAGCTTGCGTTTTTGGCTTCAGCAAACTGCGAAAGATCAACCTCATATCAGCTGTTCTCATTTGTACTCCAGGAAATTGCACTCCCAAGGCCCCCAGAGCCGATCAGAACGCGGCCACATCCATCGACAGATCCAGCTCATGTCCACCAAACCGCCCATTGGCTCATGGAAAGTGTGCTTTTGAAAAGCTCCTTTGGGGATGTGCCCCTTGAACACGTTGCTTCGGGGCTGGACGTGTCCAATCACACTCACAACCCCCGCTGAGTTCCCGTTGGTTTGTTTGGTTTGGTTTGTTTGGCTCGCCCCGTTTCGCTCCGATCCGAGGCTGGGAGACTTCGCAGGCGCTGGTGGTGGCTGTGGGCCCCGCAGGCAACAGCCTCGGGGGCAAATGGCTGGCCATCGCGCAGCGCCCAGAGGCGTTGGGGTCCGGGACGCCATGCAACGGGACCCCGATGCAAAGCACCACCGCCTGAAATACGCGGCGGTGTCCTTTTTGGTGCAATATGCCCATAGACAAAGGAAATCACCGTACTCGGATTGCTCAAAGCGGATTGCTAATCAGATCAGTTGTCCCCTGAGCTTTGTAGATCGAAAGCGCTGTTTTGCTTGTATGAGTGGTTGGGCCATGCCTGTTGAAGACCCGCTCTTTGATGCTGGTGGCTTGGTTGGAACTGCCATCGAGTTTGGTTGAAAGGTGGAAGATCACTTAGCTCGGCCCTGCAGGTCTGGGAGCAGTGCTATGGAGCCTTGCAAGCTGCCACAGGCATGCCGAGGATTTGTGTAGGTGGGATTCTTTGGATGTTTTTTGGGTTCGCTTCAAAGGAGGCCAAAGAAGAAAAGGCATCCGTTTTTGGGGTTCCCTCAAAGCAGCCAGTTGGAATTGGATGGATTGTCAAAAGCCCAAAGGAAACCACTCACACAGCCAGGCCGAGAGCCCGTGGACGAAGCCTCCTGGCTGCTCTTTGGCAAGAGTGGTCGCCTGCGGGGTGAGAGCACAGGCTCGGAAATCAATCGGTGCAGCTGAATGGGTTTGCACGGTGTCTTCACGACCCTTGGAAATCGGATGCCCCCAAAAAATGCGGCTTTTGTACTATTTGTGTTTTCCATTTGAGCCAACCCAAAGGAGGCTCTCAAAAAAAGACACATTCGGATGGGTTTAGCTGGAGTGCCCGTGACCCTAAAAGAATTGGGTCGTGTATACACAGTTTTCAGGTTGTCAGCCCATCTTTGAGAGTCTCCATAAACTCCAGGTGTCTTTTTGAGGCCAAATGCCAAAATCGGCGTGTTGTTTTGTTGTCCGGTGTACAAAGTCCTCCGTTTAAACAAGCTAAAAAAAGTGCACTCTCAAAAGCACACATTCGAATGATGCTCAGTAGCCCCACCATGATCTCTCGAAAACTGTTGAATTTGTCCAACCTCCAAAAGGTTAGAACCGCACCTGGGCTTTTTTTGTTAGAACCCCCCCCGAGTACAGAGTTATGTAAGCCAAACCTGATATTATATAGGAAGTGGCTGAGTGTATCTTTCGTGGTTGTTGATGGACTCCGATGTCCGGTAGACCTTATTTGATCTGGTTCTGGTACGGCAATGCGCGAGGCCGTGACTTCGACCAGGTCCTCGCCTTCATGGGAGTCACCCAGGACCTGTCCTTGCTGCCGCAGCTCTGCGGCGAGGCGGAGGAGGCCAGATCCGCGCACGCGCTTGACGCGCTTGGTGCGCTTAATCCGCTTGATGCTCCATTTCTCCCAAGGCTCGCGTTTTTGTTGCAGATCAGTTTTGTGCACTGTCAGTTTCTGGTTGCAATGTCGGGTCTTGTTTCCGGCTTTCCGACTTTATGTCCCGAGTCTTGAGCCTGAGATCCGAAGCCGCTTCCGCTTGGTGCGCCGAGGGCTCGATGTTTTGGAGCCCAACCAAGGGGCTCCTCAAGGAGTTGATTCCTCCAAAAGGGAATGGTTTTTGAATCACAGCCAGGACATCCTCAAAGTACACGACACCTTCTATGAGGCGTTGAAGGGGGGCGACGCGGAGATCATGAAGACCCTTTGGGTTGAGGCCTGTACCAGCCGACTCTTCTTTGCCACACATGTTTCAACCCGTGGCGGGTTCCTGTTTTGAGAGTTGTGTTCAAGCATATCCATGTAAAGCTTCACTTTCAGCAGGAGATCAACGAACCACCAGACCAAGCGCTTGCTTGCAGGACGCAGGCGGCGACAACGACCCCCGGCCGCGGGTGTCCTGGTCCTCAGTCTTGAGTGACAAGGTGTGATCCGCAACACAGGGAGTATGGTCATGGCTGTGTGGGGAGTCCGCTTGGCCCAGTACCGGCAAAAGGTTCGACTTTGGAACCCTTTCTTTTGGGCCCAGCTGGAAATGGAGTGGTTTTGGAGCGACCACTTATCTTTTTGTGTTGAGCATTTGTGCAGGCGGCGGTTCTTGACGTGGTGGATGTAGATGTTGTGAGGGCATCGGAAAACCTGGCGCTCGTCACCTCCATCGAGGCCGGCTGCACATTCGTGCCTCAGTTTGCTTGAAGCTATGGTTGGCCCCGGAGGTCTGTCTCGGTGAGGGCGGCCTCTTTAACGACGGCGGGCCCAGCGGCAAAGGCGGCATCCTTTGTGGGGCCATGTGTTTGTGTCGTGTGTTCTTCCTCAGCCGACCTCCAAGAAATGAACACCCCTTACAAAAACCAATGCTTTGTTTACCATGTAGTTCCCTCAGCCGAGATTGCGCGGAGATGACAATTGTGTGGGTGGAAGTGTGCGGTCCACTTGCACTTGAGTGGTTATGCTTGGGATTCTGCAGATCCTCATGTCAGCTACACAGAAAGTGCTCGGGCAGGCACTCTGCTGGCGACCAAGCGCCTCAGCCGGACGGACTGGCGGAATGCTTGCTGGACAAGAGTGAAATATTACCTGCTGTGGATGGAGGGAACCCGCACCACCTAAGGAACCCTGGAATGATGATTCCCTTGTACATGCCAACAAGCAGTGGTTTTCCATGGATTCGACATTCGAAGTGGTGCAGGATTTCGTTCACCCACAGTATTTCAGGTCTGCCAACATCAATTTCCCCAAGCAACGAACAACGCATGTTTCGGAGGACGCATCAAGCCCCTGGCGCATCGAGTCGCACCAGACTATCCCTTATTGTCTTGGAGCTCAGCTTTTTTGCATGACAGTGGATATGGAGCCAGGTTTCTTCCCGATGGCTTTAGGAGGAACGGATTTCTTGCGAATATGAGCTTGGCACACGGCGGCTGCAGTTGGACACTCTTGACATACCCCACGACAGCGCTACAACAACGTGTGTTGCTAGGTTGGCTGACTTAAATAAACTCGAATATTTGAACTCTGCAAGCAGCTTCATGGGGTGTGTGTTCACATTGGACGCACTGTTGCCTGTCTTGCTGCCAACCTGAGGTAACAACACCGTGGCATTCCAATCTTTAGTTTGCAACTGCCGAGGGTGCGTTTTGCTGAAACGTACTTGAAACATAAATGAAAAACTAAGCATGCAAAATAAGCTTGCTGGATATATCCGGATCAGCATACAATGCTACGCATGGTATTAAGCTATCTCTGAGGCTTTGGAAATTTGATTGAGTTCTGATTTTAAAAATAGGGCAATATTAGTTTTGAGGGTTTGTAATAGAGACCTTGTTATAGATGTTTATAACAAGATGTTTGGTTGGTTGTATATTCTTTAAAAGATGTTTCAAAGTATGTATAGGGTTTTAGTGATTGATTGAATTGAAGTTGTAAAGGCGTAATTTATATTATATTATATGTTGTTTTATATGTTTTATTTGTGTTTTCGATTTTGTAATATATATGTTTGGATGAGATTTGTATTATTGATGATTTGTTTACATTTATGGGAAACAAATGAGAATATAATTAGGAAAAGTAAATTTAGGTGATAGTCTTAATGGTATATATGTTTTTTTGAAAATTGGTATTGTTTTGTAGTGTTTGTATAATTGTATGATGTGGTTTTAGAATTCTTATGTATTTTTATTTTATGGTTATTTTTGGATTATATTAGATATATTTTTGGTTTATATTTTAAGATTGTTAATTATTAGGAAAATATAATATTGGATTAAATATATTATTGTATATTATATAAATATATATAATTTAAAAAGTATGTTTTATTTATTTATTTATTGAATATGATTTAAGGAAGAAAACAAAATATTTTTGTATATGAGATATTGAAAAAAATAATATTATTTAAGGTTTATATTATTTAAAATATATTATATTAAATTTATATTATTATATAAAAAGAATTAATTTAATTGAAATATATATATATATTAAAGATATATTTTTGGGCAAAAATTATAAGGAAATGAGAATTTAGGTTCTAAAAGGTTCTTAGATTCTATTATTTAGTAGGGCTCGCTAATATAATATTGTAATTAATAATTGTAGATAAATAATTCTAATTATGGAGGAAAAACATATGTAATTAGATCGAATAAATGCTTGACAAAATCAATTTTTATATGTTTGGGAAATTTGGCCTTATATAAAATACAATTATTATATCTTCTCAAATCTAGAACTAATATTATATATATTTTTATTTAAGAAATATATATATATATTATTTTTTAAATAGAAATTATAAAATAATCGGACTATTTTTATTTAAATATATTAAGAAAAAAATAATATTATATTAAAGATTAGTCATAAATATAGAGATATAATATATATTCATCAGAAAATATATAGTACGATTTCCTAATTATTAGATTGGATTAGGATTTTGGATTGGTATTTTTGAGGTTAAAAAATGGTTTCCCATTTAATTTTAAAACAACCCATAAGTCGAGACAAGAGCGTCTGCAAAGACACGATATCACGAAGCTTCATACATTCTTCCCAAAGCATCGCGTAAGCCGAGCTCTCAGGGGCCAAAGTCCAGGCCGTAATAGATATGCCAAATACAAAGCAAATCTTACAGAACCCGCACCGACAAGACATTTTGTATAATTCCAACACCAATATATTTTATTATATATATATATATCAATTCATATATATTCTTCGTATGCGAAAAACCGACTTAATCGCGATCAGATCATGCCAAAAAACAATAACGATCGTCTAAGCAACATAAAAATAAATCCATGGATTAATCTCAAAAATCCATCTCATTTGCAATTATTATAAGCGTAAGCCAAAATGCGATCGACCAGAAAATATCGTAAATACAAATAAACCCGAATTAATTTCGTCCAAAATATCAAAAAAACAAATACCACTAATCACAACAATCGATCATAATTTATAATTTATCGCATCGAAAAAAATAAAAATTGGCCTATATCGCTAAGAACGGCCCAATAAAATAACACCAAAAACCAATCATAACTATAATATATATATTTGTCGGAAAGCATATAGCACAATCTCCCAATTAATGGTTTAGATTAGGATTTTATAGGTTAGGGGTAAATTAAAATGGATAATCTTTGCTCTTGATTAATAGGGCCCCCCCCCCGGTCCCCCCCCCCCCCTACAACAAGCCTGGGTCCAAATTGTGGGGGGGTGGAAAGGGGGAGGGGGGGATAGGAAGGCAGAGAGACAAGAAAGAAGAAAAGTGAAGGGCAATTTAAAATTAAACTGAAGGTGCCGTTTTTTTGTGGAATTCTGATTTGTAGATGGTATTTATTCTGAGGGGGTTTTATTATTGTAGGGGGTAGTGTAGGCCTGGCAGCTGGTTTATGTTGCTAACCATTAATGTGAGGGGTGTTATTATTGTAGGGGTGGTGTTTCTTGTGTGCAAAGGGCTAGGCTGCAGCAGTTGCAGGGATGCATAACTGTAGGGGGTGGCTAGAGACGGCACTTGCAAACTGCAGACTGCAGGAGTTAGCTTGCACATGCAGAATGTATGCCCTTGCAGGATGTAGGGCCTTGCAGGGTAAGTAAATGCAGGGCATGCAGTGAAGCCAGCACATGCAGCAACACAAGCTTGAAGAGCTGTAGAAGCTGAAGAAGCTGAAGAAGCTGTAGAAGCTGCAGCAATAAAAGTTTCCAAGCTTTTGGGAATGATGGGGTGCAGGTGCTGCTGCACTGCTGGTGCTGATATTATTGTGAGGTGGTCTCTTTATTGTAGGGGGGTGTCCTAGCTAGCAGGGCTGCAGTGCCCTGGTATTATTGTGAGGTGGCCTTTTTATTGTAAAGAGGGCCAGTTAGTGTAAGCTTCAAAATAGATGCTTGTTGATGAGATTAGGCAGTGGCATGGAATGCAGTGTTGTAGGTCTTCCAGTAATTATTCCTTCAAGTCAGTCTCGCCTGCAAGTGAGGCTTCAGCTGTCTTCTCTTCAGCGCTTTGCCTTCCTCATCTGCCTGCAGCATAAGCAATGGACATGCTGCAAGCTGCAGCGCAAATCTTGAGCACTGCAAGGTGCACCCTCTCACATCTGCACTTTTCCTGGCCAAATGCCTGCACTCGCTTCCTGCAATGCTACACGATAGACCTCAGCAACTTTCTCCTACACCTCTTTGAGCTGGGGCTGAAATGTTTGTGTTGTTTGTTTCACACTGCTGGTTCTTTATTCCGGGGTGGTCTTGTTATTGTAGGGGCTTCCTCTTTGTAGATATGGCAGTGCAGCTTGCTTTTCATTGCAGGCACGCTTGCTGGCAGAGGATGCTGCTACTGCGGCCACCATGCAGTTTAGCGGACAAAATGCAACTGTGCGAGCAGTCTGTAGCAAGGGCAGTCTTTGTTGTGAAGAAGATAAAGCCATACTCAAGCATGAAGAGGACTGTAGTATGACAGTGCAGGAATGATTTTTCTGGTAGCTAAAGCGTGCAGGAGCATAGTTGTAGGGGGGTTGCTTTGATGTGGGGGAGGCAGTGCTGGAGTCCAAGAAACCTTGTGTTTGTTTGCTTGGCCACCGGGTTTGAATTGCAATTAGTATTGGGGAGATTAAAACTAGTATTCGGATTTTAGGAGTTCTGGCCTCGGAAAAGTTATTATTCCGGGGGGATTTCTTGTGTCAACTGGGGCACCAAGACTAAACTATGTATTGGCTAATTAAAAATAAGTATTGGATTTTTTCTGGCCCGGGGCGAGAAAAAGTCATTATTCCGGGGGGATTTATTAATCAAGTCCTAAGATTATCAAAAAAGGAAAAGAAAAAAAAAGAATTCCAATATATTCCAATCCATTAAAAACAACCTACAAACCAAGACCAAAGCGTCCGCAAAAACGATCTCACGAAATTTTATGTATTCTTCGCAAAGCATCGTGTAAGCCGAGCTGTCAAAAACCAAAACCCAGGTCGTAACAAATATGTCAAAAATAGAACAAATCTTGTAAATCAACCCGTGCTAGCAAAACATTATATATATCCAAATATATATAATTTTTCGTATATGAAATATATATATATATATCATTCTCCAAAAACAAGTTATGAGATGTATTGAAGACTGGGCTAACCTATATAATTACAACCGACCCAATAAAGGTCATACCAAAAACCAATTACAAACACAACGACATAATATGTTCGTCGGAAAACGCATAACAAGATCTCCTAATTGTTAATTTGGATTCAATTTTTCTATTAATGCTTTAGAATTTAAGGAGTAATATCCCATTAATATAATCCAAGATTCAATCCCTAAATCATCAATCCAAACCAACAATTAAGAGCAAATTAAAACGTATGCCAAAAATAGAAAAAAGAATCCTATATATTCCAACCCATTAAAAACAATCCATGCGAAATATATATCGTTCTCCAAATATAGGTTGCGAGATAGATTAAGGGTCGGACTAGTCGCTCTTAGATATGCCTAGAAACAAAGGTCTACGTCGTTAAAAGCGGCCCGATAAGGTCACACCAAAAACCAGCCACGGACACAGAGATATAATATACACTCATCGTAATATGCATAACACGATCTCCAAATTGTTAATTTGGATTAGGATTTGGCATTGGTTATTTGGAAATTAGGAAATAATTATCCATTTAACTTCAATATTATCAAAAGATTCAATCCCCAAAATATAATCCAAACCAGTAATTAAGAAAAAGGAAGATAATCATGAAGATGATTTCCATGGTATTCCAATCCATCAAAAATAGCCCATAAACCGAGACCACAACGTCCGCAAAAACACAATATCACGAAATTTCATGCACTCTTCCCAAATCATCGCATAAATTAAGTTCTCAGGAATCAAGATCCAAGCCGTGATGAATATACCAAAAACAGAGCAAATCTTGAAGAACTCGCATCGACAAAACATGTTTTACAATTCAGGCACCAATATATTTTATTATATATTAGCGAGGGTCCGCTGTTTTCCAGCAGCGTGCGAAATAAAGCCCATAACAAAAAAATAAAAAAAAATCAGAATATGGAATAAAACATCATTCCAATTTAAATAATTATAAATAAATATGTATTACTCACAGAAACAAGAATAAACAAACCGAACAAATACTTAACAAAACACGATTTCGGAATATTTCGAGAAAATAC